CCTTGAATTGTGAGCCGCCCTGAGTCCGTTTCAGGGAAAAGGGCGGCATACAAATAAAGTAAATTCAAATTCAAATTTTTAATCTCTTCCCTTGTATTATTGCTGTTGCTTTTTTTAATGGGTTTCTTGTTTCAACAGCAAATGATTTTGTCAGAAGGCAAAAAGGGAAATGGTAAAAGATTTAAAATAAAATAAATGCAGTCCAAAATGGAAAGATTCTAAGGCAGGGGTGGGACACTATGGCCCCCTTTGTAACCTGTGGACTTCAACTCCCAGAATTCCTGAGCGACTCATGTTTAGGAATTCTGGGAGTTGAAATCCAGAGGTCATCAAGGTGTCATAGTTGCTCACCTCTGATCTAAAGAAATCCCACAGGAGATCCACTCTGGGAAATCCACTATAACAGATTAAAAACGGAATTATCTGAATATGTCAGAAAGATATCGGACTCAAAAGACAACCTGTGATTGATACATTTAATAAATTAATAAATTAATTTATAATTAATAGATTTAATACATTAATCACAGAGAGGTCCAGTTTGGTACAGTGATTAAAAACAGGTCTCAGTGTTCCAAGCAATAAAACCATACCAAGCAAAACAACGAGGTAGATGAATTCCTCAAAGAATAGCTTTATTGGATATATCATATTGGCATAGATCTGGTGAAAAACGACTCTGAAGGTTCCCGCAGTTTTCGCCTAATTAAAAGTAAAAGTTTTCCCTCAACCCCAAACAATCAGTCACATGGTCCAATCAAGGCATCGTCTGATGGTGGTGACATCACTCCTCCTTCCTCCGCCCAAGAGAACGTCCTTGGTTCTCAACAGAAAGTATTTTCTTTTGGCTACAAAAAGTCCAACTATCTCTAATCCCCCATCCCAATCCCTCGGCTCCATAGTGGCAGCACTGAGGCTCCAAGATGGCTTCAGCCAAGCCAGCTTCAGGGTTGACAGCAGGAGTTACATTTGCCAAGATTGACTCTAAAAACGAGCAATACCTTCGTCCAGGAACAAAGAGCATCTGTGAAGTTTGCAAGGGCAAGTAGACCTCGCAGCTACGACAGTGATGGAAAAAAGGAACTTTGCAAACAATCTTCACATTTAGGAGCTTCGCAGGTCTGTAAAGCCAAGGAAAGCTGAAGTCTGATCCAAAACACAGGTGCCGTTTCAAATAGCAACTGTTCTGCTTAATAACCAAATGGCCATTCCCAACTGGGGTCACTCAACAGGAACTACATTTAAACTGATTCTTAGATAGATGTTTTACCCTTGGTGTTCTGACCTAGGCTTCCCAAGATCATGAAGCAGACTCCTTGTCCTGATAAAACCTCTTTTATTTAGGTTAAAGGGAATTCCTCTCCAGCAAAAACCCGGCAAACAGTCTTTCAAGAGATTTCACAACTACAGACCTTTATCAGGCTTGGAGAACTGCCAGGCCGATATCTTCCAAACGCCACTCTGTAGCAGATAATACTTGGCAAGAAGTCAGGAAGAGATCTTCACCCTAATGAATTGAACTAATTGTCTTCTGCAAACTCCACTCCCCTTTCGCTCCTCTTTATTCCCTCTGGGAGGGGCCATTCACCATCCACCTGTGGCTTTACTCCTGAGTCGACCCTTGTTCCTTAGCTGTTCCCTTCTCCTGGCAGCTCTGCACATGGGCACACTGGGAACAGGCTCCAGCTGTTCTTCTGCCCCACTGATCTCCGACTCCGAAGGCAGCTGATAACTGTCGGATGGCACTGACCCCATCTCTGCCTCTGACACAGAGCCCTCATCGGAGCCTTCCCCAGACTCCAGGACTGGCCCATGTTCCTCCCCAACCTCCTCACTATCAGAGTCTGCCACCAGCTCTACTGGCCACTGGCGGGCCACAACACTTGGGAAGGTAGTAAATGCAAGACTTGGTAGCTAAAGTTACTTTTTCATCACCGTCATAACTGCAAGCAATCACTAAACAAGGTAGTCACTAAGTGAGGATTCTTCTATTCTCTTTCTCCTTGCAAAAAGGACCAGAATCTGGTTAGAGAGACAGATATGCAGCTACAGTAGTGCAAAAACACATCTGTCAATTTCCTAAAAAGTGATTTATTGCTCAAATGCTCTCAAGGAGACCCTCTGCCATTTTTATATTCAATTGTGAAGGATAGAAATGAACAGGTGTATCAAATATCACGGTTCTTCAACTCACTTTTTGGCAAGCTTTGTTCCAGCTGGATTTTTAGCCAGATGTTAACACGCTGGGTCCAGTCCCCAGGTGCTTCCACTTCCCACAGCCGAGACTGCTCCTTTGGGTAGGTCTCCAAGAACTTTTGACAAACTAAATAGGGAAGACAAAGAACAGGAAAAGTAATGATGTACTGTCATACCTCGGTATTCGACTGTTTCAAAACTCATCAATTTCGGTATTTGAAGCATTTCGAAGCAAAAATCTCATCCCGGCGCTCGTCTTTCTCCTGGTAGTTGGTATACAAGGAAGAAGATAGCTGCCTTGTGAATCACTATTTCTTTGAGCTGCAGTAAAGTAAATCACATGGTTTTCTCAGTACCAGCCGGTTTTGGTTTTCATTGCGTTTTCCAGAACTAATTATTTAAAACTATGTAACGCCACCAACAGTGCTGCTGCCCTACAAAGAAACCTCAACTATGTGTCAGAATGGCCAGACAATTGGCAACTCCAAATCTCAACCAACAAACACTCTGTCCTACACATTGGCAATAAAAACCAGACCACCAAATACAAGTTGGGTGGAAACGACCTCGTAGACGACACTCACTCTGTCACGGACCTTGGAGTACTCATCTCAAAGGATCTAAGTGCCAGAGCTCCCTGTAAGAGCATTGCCAAGAAGGCATTAAGAGTTGTTAACCTAATTTTGCGAAGCTTCTTCTCTGGCAACATAGTACTGCTAACTAGGGCATACAAAACCTTTGCCAGACCAATTCTCGAATGCAGCTCGTCTGCCTGGAATCCACACTGTCTATCGGACATTAATATGATCGAGCGGGTCCAGAGTTATTTCATGAGACTAGTACTCTACTCCTCTGCTCACGATAGAATCCCTTATGCTACCAGGCTCAAAATTTTGGGCTTGGACAATCTGGAACTGCGCCGCCTGTGGTCGGACCTAAGTGTAGTACACAAAATTGTCCGCTACAATCAGTGATGGGATTCAGCGGGTTCACAGCAGTTCGGGAGAACCGGTTGTTATCTTTCTGGGCAGTTTGGTGAACTGGTTGTTGGAAGAAATCATTACGGCAGAGAACCTGTTGTTAAATTATTTAAATTCCACCACTGGCTACAATGTCCTACCTGTCAATGACTACTTCAGCTTCAACCACAATAATACATGGACAAATGATACAAACTCAAGGTAAACCGCTCCAAACTTGATTGCAGAAAATGCAACTTCAGCAACAGAGTGGTCAACGCCTGGAATGCTCTACCTGACTCCGTTATTACATCCTCAAACCCCCACAGCTTCAGCCTTAAACTGTCCACGGTGGACCTCATCCCATTGCTAAGAGGTCTGTAAGGGGGCGTGCATAAGCGCACCAGGTCCGCTTATGCACGCTCCCTTACAGACCTCTTAGGAATAGGGTGAGATCCACAGAAGACAGGGGGGCTCCAGGGTCCCTTCCAATTGTGTCGTTCTGTTCTTCTTCTTGCTGTGAACTCGCTATGTTCCAACAATCGTTTAGGAGAAAAGAGCGGGAAGAAACTTATCATTTTCTGGCTAGAACTGACCCTTTAACACCACAACTTGCTTGTTTTATTTCACTTCATTTAATATCTGAGCCTGTGAAGCAGCCTTAAGAATGTGATCTGATGAATGTCAGCCTGGAACATCTAAGCATTCCTGCAGAACATTTACCAACTACATTTGGAAGCAGTGAAAACTCCTGTCTGGAAGCTTTGATTTATGGCTTCCGGTCAACCCTCAGTTTTTCTTCACGCAGCATCTGGGCCTCCCCTTTTCTTAAAAAAAAGAAAAGGAAAAAGGCATTTATCAGAGTAGACGCTGCACAGCTGTTTATAAGGAGAAGAGCTTCCAACAGCATGACTAATGTCAGAGATTATTCTAACAAAAATAAGTTAAGAAAGATTGCATTGGCTTAATTGAAGACAGCACTGGAAATTTCATGCTTTTAGGAATGAACACCATCTTCATTATTGATCGGCGCACTCAAAATGTAGACCATGACTTACAACCAGTCACTTAGCAACCATTTGAAGTTACTATGGTCCCCCGAAAGGGATTAATTCTGAAGTTCTGGATGCCAGGGACATACACACACACACCATGGTCAAGTGACCACATTTCAGACACTCAGCAACCAGCCAAAATGTATAGCTGTTTTGCAACATTCCGCATTGATGACATCTTGGCATGGTGGTTAGAATGCAGTATTGCAAGCTAATTCTGCTGACTGTCAGAAGTTCGATTCTGACTGGCTCAAGGTTGACTCAGCCTTCCATCCTTCCCAGGTGGGTAAAATGAGGACCCAGATGGTTGGGGGCAAATAGGCTGACTCTGAAAAACCACTTAGAGAGGGCTGTAAAGCACTGTGAAGCGGTATATAAGTCTAAGGGCTATTGCTATTGCATTCTATTCTATTGCATTCTATTCTATATTCTATTCTGTCCTGTTCTGTTCTCTGTGCTGTTCTGCTCTGTTCTATTATTCTATTCTATATTCTGCTCTGCTCTGCTCTGTTCTATTCTATTCTATTTTCTATTCTATTTTCTATTCTGCTTTCTATTCTATTTTCTATTCTATTCTATTCTGTATTCTGCTCTGTTCTATTCTATTTTCTATTCTATTCTGTATTCTGTTCTGCTCTGTTCTATTCTATTCTATTTTCTATTCTATTTTCAATTCTTTCATTAGTCTATTCATTCATTAATCTATTCTAGTCTATTGCATGGTAGCATAGGGGGTAGAATGCAGTATTGCAGGTTAATTCTGCTGACTGCCAGCAGTTCCATTCTCACCTGCTCAAGGCTGGCTCAGCCTTCCATCCTTCCCAGGTGGGTAAAATGAGGACTCAGATTGTTGCGGACAATATGCTGACTCTGTAAACCGCTTAGAGAGGGCTGTAAAGCAGTGTGAAGCGGTATATAAGTCTAAGGGCTATTGCTATTGCATTCTATTCTATTGCATTCTATTCTATATTCTATTCTGTCCTGTTCTGTTCTCTATGCTGTTCTGCTCTGTTCTATTCTATTCTATTTTCTATTCTATTTTCAATTCTTTCATTAGTCTATTCATTCATTAATCTATTCTAGTCTATTGCATGGTAGCATAGGGGGTAGAATGCAGTATTGCAGGTTAATTCTGCTGACTGCCAGCAGTTCAATTCTCACCTGCTCAAGGCTGACTCAGCCTTCCATCCTTCCCAGGTGGGTAAAATGAGGACTCAGATTGTTGCGGACAATATGCTGACTCTGTAAACCGCTTAGAGAGGGCTGTAAAGCAGTGTGAAGCGGTATATAGTGTAGGTGCTACTACTATTTGTGTTGTTTTTGCCAAAAGCTGGGGTTTTTTTTACTTTTGGTTTTCTGCAAAAATACTCTTTGGGTAACAAACAATGGGCATTCTCATTACGGTCGTAATTTGAGGACTCCCCATCCTCCAAT